CTTGTTTTTGTTCTTTTTTGTTTAGCCATTTTTTACCCCCTGGTAATTGTTAGCAATTGTACTTCTACAGAATACTATCTGTATTTACATGAGTGTCCCACTTAAAGAGCTTCTGGAATCATTTTCAAGCACATAAATTTATTTACAGATGTAGCATATCAAAGATGTCAAATTGTCATGTATTATTTTCAATCATTTTACTGGTTAATAAAACAGTTTGTTTGATGTTAATCTTTTTTAAATAAAAAATAAAATATTTTTAATATTTAAATATTTTTAATAAATAATCATTCTACAGTTATAGCTGTTTATATATCAAACTATCAAGGTTGTTTTGTAGGATATGACTATGATTATAACAGTATTTATCATATTTTTTCCATTGCTTAAATAAATGTAATAATAAAATAAGATCATTTGGATCATCAAAGTTCATTTTGACCTATGAATTCCTTAAAATGCTGTATATGCCAGAAATTCTCTCCAACACCTTTGCAATGAAATCTTTATCTGACCAACAAGTTAATATATGCCACCTCTTTTCTTTCTCAGTTGTGTAATTAGTACTACCAAAAGGAACTCATCTGCTTGGTATAATAATGACTATCTTTTTTTTCTATTAGCATTTCTTGCAGAAATTTCCTTTTTTATTACAGATTAAGCACCTGATGAAGACTGAAGAATTATTGGGCAAAAACATTGAATTAACATACAAAGAAGTTATTTGAACAAAATTTGGAAAATTAATGTCCCTTATTATAGTGTAATATCTGTTCTTTTTCCATGTTATAAAATTGATAAAGGAGATTTATTAATTCAACTATTGTCCTTTTTAGTTCAATATATTTAAAATCTACAGTTCCTTTTTTAAGATATCAAATCTCTGGATGAAAAAGTATATCCTGAGACATGAAGTTTACTTGGCTTTCAAAATCCTTTTAAACAAATTGTAATAAATTTCTGTGGCACTGACTTTGAAAATAGCTCAACATAACTGACTTGTTTCCCAATTTTGCTGTGACTAAAATATATTAATCATCTGCAAAATTAATGCAAAGAAAATTAGTTTTGCCTACACAGCATTCAGTTCTTTGTTACTTCAGATATTTATTGCAGTTGAATGAAAAATTATAAGCAATTTTCTGTATATTTTGTGGTTTCTTATCATGCAAGTTAGCTTAAAATACCTCTTCATCTCTAAGATTACAATAATATATTTGTCCCTGAAAGATGCAATAAACTATGTTGATGCAAATATGATTCTTGTCAGAAAATCATAAACTCTTAAAATCTTGTACCTTTTGATTTTGTTATTATGTTGTATTCTTCAAAGATTACTACTGAATAATTTTTTAAGGTAGTTGGTCATTGTAATTGTTTTTTATTCTCAGAATTCCCTGATTATCAGGGAAATTCACCAAGTGGCCTCACCTATAGCCGTACGTAAGCATAGGAAAGCTTCCCTTTCATTTTGATTAATTTCATTACAACTGACCAATGTTTGTCATTAATTCTTAATTAAAATAGCTAATTTTTTATTTCTTTTCCAATTTATTGTTTTTTTTCAGATGATTTTTTCTCATTTAAACAATTTTTTTTTTTAAACTTATTTCACAAATTTCTCTAACAATGTATTATATAATCATGTTTTGTTCACTCACTTGCTCACAAAGTTTTTAAAGATTTTTTGAAATAACAGTTTTGCAATAGAAATTGAAACTTCAATAGATTTACTGCCAATTTTTGGTTTCAATTAATCTGTAAGGAACATTAGAAGGATGAAGATTTTTTGTATACATGTGTGCATGTGGAAAGTTAAAATTGAATATAGCTTACTCGGTCATTGTTTTACTATTTTCTTTCAGATTGATCAGGAAAAAGAATTCAATTTTTTTTTAATATATAAGCAAAACTTCACTCAAACATGCTAATATAGTCATTGAACATTCAACTATTCTGGTATTTACTCAATTAACATTCATTATTACATCTAGGTCAAAAGAATCAACTTTGTTCATTTTATATAAACTCACTATTCTCTTTGTGAGTATTCAAAGAAATGATAAACACAGTGAAAGTTCACTGAAAGTGTCCACAAAGCAAATCTAAATCCTTCCACATGACTAAGAATGTTTTTTCCTAACTTTCAGTACAAAGAAAATAATGCTGTTGCCAATCAATTGACTTATTGGAGAGTGGACAGGAGCTTTGTCATCTTAAAGAATGATTCATCCTAAATGTGAAAACTGCATAATCATCTCAGCTCTATTTTAGGTGTTTACAACATGTACACAAAGTCATTTTCTTAATAGCTGCAGAGACTGATTTTTTCCTGCCTCTTACAAAAATGATTGTAGCACTCAAGGATTCTATTTGATTTTGAAATTTAAATACTATAATAATTTCACTTTGCTTTTTCCCTTTTCTTGGAAAAAAAAGTCCAAACAAATCAATTTTTTGATGAAGGATTCTTTTTCTCAATTATTTGTCAAATTTACTTTGCTAAATTTTTTTTCGTAACAACTTTTAGGGCAGTTAATTCTGTAGAGTTTAGAGAATTCACTTCTAATAATTATTTTTACCTATAAGATTCTTAAGAAGTCTTTTTTTTGTATTTAGAAAAATAACAATTCAATAAATTTAGATTCTTCTAATGAAATTGAATGTGGGCATGCTTGACTTTGTCTCTTCATCCACCTTGATATATGCAAGATCAAATCTGTTTAGTTTAGGCATAATGGACCCCCAGTTAAGAAAGTACAGTAATTATTCATGTAAATCCTTTTTAAAAATTAGAGGGGCATACTATACTTGATAACCAAACATTTACTTTTTTCTATTCATATGTGTCCCCATATTCAGGATGATACGACAGAAAATAAGTTATGTCTACAGCCTAAATTAATTAATGTATAATAAAAAGTTTACATCAGGAACCAAATACTGCATTTGTTTAAACAAAAAAAAATGATTCACATATATATTAAGCACTGTTTTATCTGTTTCATTGTTGTCCATATCAAAGATGTCATGAAACTTTTACTTATGTTGTCAGCATATCATTGTATCAATTTAGTTGTCTTTGAAATTTGTGGGGAATTTTTGTGCTATATGAATCTCTCTCTCTCTCTAAAAAATCTGACACCATTTAAAGTGCTTAGGCTTTGTTTCCATCTTCATAAACATTATGGTAAAAATAAAGGACAGTCATATGGGCATAGGGAATTTGATTTGTGATAACATCCCCAAGTTTAGTAGGGTTATCTATAAGCAATGTCATAGCTGTCTGCTGATGACCAAAATATGCCATGTACAGATCATCTATTAATGTCCACTTCTGTTTTATGCTAATACAGAGAAATAGCCACTAACAACTGGACTATACATTTGTTTATAATGTTGTTTATCTTAGTGTGAGTTAATTTTTGTTGCAAGCTTATTGAATTTTTGTGTGACTGTGTGCATTAATTTGCTGTAAGTGCTGTGTAAATGTTGTTTGAAAATGTAATGTAAACTGTATAAATTCTTATTTTTAGATGATACAAACCAGATAAAAGTTTTACAAATGTTAAATTTAGATTCTATAAATTCTAACATTCACTGTATATTATATATAGGATACATTTCATAAAAATCTTGTAGCACAAATTCAAGTGTGTCTTATGCATTAATAATTACGGTTATCAGTTATCATATGACAAGAAAGAAGAGTCTCATTTTATGCTGAAGAAGAGAAGTTGAAAGAAACATTTAGATTTTCCATTGACTACTATTCACAGAATTGTCTCCCAAGATCATTAAAAAAGATTAATCAGAAAAAAATTGGATCTAAAAGAAAATAGGATCTCAAGTGATGGTTCTAAGAAAGTATAGAAACTGTCCATAATGATTGTCCCAAGTGCTATCAAACAATTTATTAGCCATTTTCAAGAGATTCATTGTTAATATTTTCTATGTTTGTGTTCGAAGTTATTTTGTGTGGAGGTAGTAGAAATTCTAAGCTGCGTAAGAAGAAATGTGGTTGTGATTCCATTTTAGAGTATCTTTTAAAAGACTACCAACATGTTACTGCCAATGTCAAACAAGGTTAGGTGGAAGCATGGCTTGAATTGATTTTTGTAAAGAATTACCATTATCTTAAGACATCAGTGACAATTAGATTTCTTTAGAATGATTTTATCAACAAAAGATTTTCAAATGGGACAGGTAGTTGTTTGTGCATCTAAGTATAACAATGAGATCACTTAAGTGGTTTGTCATCATTCTATATTGGATATATGTCAATGACCATCAGCAGTGGCTGAGACAAAGATTATGATCAAATTCTACACACTCTTAACCACCCACTAAAAAGGTAAACTAAAAACATTAGAAAAACTTAAGGAATTTTATTTTTTATTGTCTGTCAGATTCAATGAAACATGCACACTGAAGTGGATAAACATTAAATGTATCTACTGGAAAACTGAATTAAAACTATCTGCCTCAATGGATTGATAAAAAGATTTAACTAATTTGTTATTCACAGATTGACAAGATTTTTCTATCTTTGAACCAAAATATAAAACTTCATCAAAGGCTTTTTGAAAAAAATATTTTTCACTTTTCTTGATTACAAGTTTTTTACTTCTTTAAAAAGCCATTTCCACATTCTATAATAAAATATTTGATTCTGTTTGCCTTTGATAGCTTTTTTCCAATAATTAACAGAAAAATCTAAACTGCATTTTTTTCAACAACAAATCAATATATTGAAAAAATACCTAGAAATTAAATATGTTGTCCTGAAATAATGAGTTTACTTCTGTTAAGTTTTTTATTTCATTTTTGGGATTGAATCATTCTTTGAGACTGACAGGGAACACAATTTATCTTTTAAAGTTATAATGTTTTTCTTCTCTTTTTGTTTAACAAGGTTTTTTTTTATCTTTACATGGAAGTTGAATATTTCCTTCTGATTACAAATTTTTTACAAAAGTTCTACTTTCTAATCTTTTCAGCGAGATCTAATAATCGGCTAAGAACAGCTGGAATTGCTGCTGGTATCTCCTCACTACTCCTGATCCTTGTCTTTGGTGTGTGTGTTTTTGTGATATTCATCAGGTAAGGATAGCACTATCATTCCTCTTTTCATCTTGGTAGCTACAAAAGAAAGTCTCTAGTCCCTGTGAATTTGCTATTTCACTTTTATTTACTTAACCTTACAGAAATTATTAGAAAGATCGTTCAGTAGTTTTCAGTTTCTTCTATTCTGCTAGTAAAAAATTTTTTACACTAAAATGAAAATTCAGATTGAATCTTGGTAGCTTGATTCTAGAATTTCAATAAGGTGAATGTTTGTCATGGAAGTTGCAATTTAGAAAATATTTTTTATTAAGTAAATTGATAATGTACCTTTCAAAATTATGAAATCCTTAAGCTTAACTTGAAGTGAATTAGTCTAAGACAGGCTGACAGAAGTTTTGTTACAGAAAAATATTTGAAATTCTTAAAAAGAAAACAATGTTTGAATAAGAAACATTTTCTGCTCACAAATCTCCTTCCAAAGCAATCAGGTGGTTACTAGTGTGAAAAACAAAGCTCACTTATGTGACACCACTTTGAAATATATCAAAACTAGGAATGAAAATAGGAATAAAATTGCAGGACCAGATGAGATCATAGAGATGTTTGATATTGAGAAAGTTACTGAAAGGATATATGGAAATATGCAACAGAGGTGAAATATAGTGTTGACAAAGAAAACAGCTGCAAATGAATGTGAACTCTATGCAACAATCAGGTTGATGAGTGATGTAACAAAAACTGATAATTAGGATTGTAACAAATAAAGCTTGTAGCAGAAATTAGTCCAGAAATAAGAGGGTGGGGTGAAACAAAATGGTTTTGTTCAAGACACTAAAAAAAAACAAATTCAATTAACCAATTCTAATTGTCAGACTGGTAAGAATGTTTTTTCACTGCACTTATTTTAAAAATATACACCAAAATGATTCTTAAAGAATTACAGGACCTACTATGAGTTATTACTAGCATATATATATATATATATATATATATATATAATAATGGACTGTCCCGTCGGTTTTGACAGATGAGAATCTGACAACTTAATTGATTCAGTTATGAAATTTTGTGCAATAATCTTAAGTGGCACCCATCAGTCTGACACTGTCGCATTCACTCTCTCACCAACGGACCTTGCAAGTGAACTGTGTGGATAAGAATGAATGAATCAAGGTAAACTGCCAGAAAACCCACACAAGTGATTTGATTAAAGTGGTGAAGGCTTGTGCAGAACCATCCACACTTTTCGGAACTATTGATACACTTAGTCGGTGCAAATAAATGCCACAGACGAAGCAGAAAATATACCTCAGGCTTTTCGTGTAAGAGTTTTCCATCTCCTAGACCAGTTTTATAACACTAAAGAGCTTGGTCAGATGTGTATACATACATATATATATATATATATATATATGATATACAGATGAAACAATGTTAACAAATCTAAACAGAAAACTGGAATAACTATAAAACAAGATAGTTGATGAAAGCAAGAAAAGATTAAATATAAATTGTAAGACAATGCATGGTTATGAGCAAAAGGTTCAGGTATTGTGTATGTGTGTTCATTATTAGTCTCTTTGCAATTTGCAGCAATAGAACTCGTTCAGAAATTGATCACATGTCTACAATTGGCAGTTACAATCTTGCACAAAGTTTATCTATGAATTGCACTTGGCAACTGTTATAGACAAGCATATAGTTGCAAGAAAGAAATACGACAACAGCAGAAATAGATTTACGTGATTTATTTCAATAGGAACGTGTGGTTTTGGGACAGCTACCTTGCGGTATAGTTCATAGGCCGGCTGAAGATCTGGGTTGATCTCTCATAGTAGTTCTCACTGGTTGGCGTGGCGCTACTGCTCCTGTTGACTGCTGTTGTACTTCCGTGTGACCCCTTTTATGGTGTTTTTTTATGGCTTGACAGGCCCGTAAAACGACGCGAGTATAATTAGGAGGGAAGCATTTTTATTGGTTGAAAAATAGAAACACTTTAAAATATTATTTTATTTTTTGACCGGAACTCATGTGTTGGGAATATGCGTAAACGCGTAAATATGGTCATTTTGTGATGGGGCCTTGTCCCGTTTACATCCGGCTCTCGCTCTTGAGTATGTTAGTTTATTTGCCTGCAAATCAGCCGAGATATGTCTTATTTTATTTTATAACACAAGCATTGAAAACAGAAAACTGTTTATTTACATTATTTGGACTATTGTCCTCATCTTTGTCGCCATATTTATTACATTTTGGCCGTTATATGCTCCAGCCTTCTTCAGGTGGTTGGAATGTCGAACTTAACCCTTTATTTCATTCAATGGGGTAGACTGTTCTAGTTCCATGTACCATGTTTAATGGATGTCAGTTATCAGTTATTTCCTGTTAATTTCCCTCTGAAAGTTCTCCACTGCCTTAACTGGGTATTGAACTCACACTTTTTGAAATATAGACAGATACAGAAAACTGTTTGCTTTCCTATATATGTTTCCATGTTTTCATTGATACCCCATGAATGTCAAAAGTAAGCAAAATTACTGAGATTTCTCTGGCTCTGAATATATTCTTTATTTGAAAACCTGATGCTTAATTGGCAACATCCAAATGGCTTGTTACTTTTACTTTTGTAAAATTCCCTGGCCAAGTGTTTACTTTTCATTATCACCAATCAGCTAAGTTAAAAATCATTGTATTTGCGTCTATTTCTCTCTCTCTCTCTCACACATACCTACATATATATATATATATATATATATATATATATATATGGATTTTTAGTTCAATTGTATTTAAGAAAATATGATTCTACCAATAACTTCTAGTAATATGTCAAATGTTATCCATATTTTATTTATGTAAATTCCGTTAGAAATAGTTTCATTTATTGTAACTAATTAGCATCTTTTTTTTCAATGTACTCCATTTAGATTTAGTCATAAATTCTTCCTTTAGTTTTTTCCTGGCTGCATGTCCCCCACTCTCTTTACATCTCTTATCACTTATCACTTAATTCATCAACTACCTTAAGCCTCTTTGAAGAGTTTACATGCCTCAACAGGTGATGTGGAGTGCTGCTGAAAGTGACAGCCAATGGAAAAAAAAGGTGGGGAAATTGTGGAGAAAGCTACATCCTGAAATGACCTAGTAATAAAGAGAAAGAATAGGTTTTACCAAAAAGGGGAAAAGAAAAATGTATTTTGTTTAATTTCTTTCATTTTAAAGATCTTATTGAAGAAAAACCAAAAATAGTAGAACAATATGGCTCATACAGATGTGACAAAAAGGCACCATCTGATTTGATTTTATTCAAATCATGAAAATTAATTCTTTGGATAAAAATTGGTTATAAATAAATAGTTTCTACCTTGTCTGAAGGCAAATTTACATTGTTTTGTGTGTTTGATTGAGGTACATAAATATTGATTTCCAGACATATTCTCTTAACCATGCATTATTCATTTGAGAATAGTCTCCAGTAATTTCATATGGCTTGGGAATTAAATTAACATTTTAATATATGTTAATATTTTTTTCTTGTGTGTGTAGTTTTGCAAACAAAATTTGCACTTTTGTCAATAATGACAATTCTATCAAATAGTAGTCATGGCACTCCACAACTATGTGAATTGACAAGGTTTTATTGTTGTCTTTATAGATTGAATTCAGAATTGTTCTTCTTCTAGACAGGCAGCCACACAAGGTTTGACAGCACAGTCTGCCATGCCATTAAGCCCAAAAATAGATTCATGCCTTTCCCAAAAGCATTAGTGAATGCAACAGACACAGTCAGAATATGAAATCTGCTTGCCAATTCCACTTTCCATATCAATATAACCACTTCACTCAGCACCAGATATAATCCTTTACATTGTGTGAATGTGTATATACATTTTATATTGTGATGTTGTGGTCACCATTCTACTACTTGTGCTGGTCCCCAAATGGTGTTTTTCACCTCTCTTTAATTTTGAATATCATACCAGAGAGTGAGGTTACACTTCGATGAAGGTGGCTTGCATTAGGTGCAGTAAATTTTACTTCACCGGAATGTGTTGCTCAGTGGATTTAGTTTGTTGAATTCACAAGTTGTAGATTTTTGTTGGCCTTGTTGAGAATTCAATCAACTGTTTCCTCTATGTTGGGTGATCCAGCTGAAAAAGAGGCAAACGTGCCAATCAGAAGAAAAGGACCCTGTTGAAAAGCTATTAACATTTAGAGATTAAATGTAAAATTATATAACAGCTATGGGACTGCTTCATCTCAATCATCTTTTTTTACCATTTGAGGTACTGAGAGATGTCTTAGCATGGAATTACTTTTACAGCAAACTTTTCTAATGCACTATGTTTGAAATAGACATGCAGGGTTTTTCTCTCAGCAGATGTCTGAATCTAACTGATATGCACATCTTCTGCACTCATTAATTTATGCACATTCCATTTACACAAACTTCCATCCAGAAAACAGAAAGGATTAATTAATGTCTGAAACTTCTGAACCTTTCTTATTCATCCATTTGGCCTCAAACAGATACTGTGGTGCTTTGTGATCTGTCTTTATCCCAAATTCTGCTCAGTCCAGATAACAATACAATTTCTGAAGTGCATACACTATTGTGTAGGCCTCCTTTTCAATTATGGACCATTTCTGCTGGATGAGGGGAGAGTTTGTGTGATAGAAAATAAATTGGGATTTTTTTCCTTTATACCTTCTATGGAACCTTCCTATTCCAGACAGGTCTGTGTCAAACAAGCCCCAATCCACATATCATTTGCATCAGTATACAATATCATTAGTTTTCTCAAGTCTGGATATGCTAGTAAAAGCACAGTTGTTAGTTGCTCCTCTAGTGTATCAAAGGATCGCTGGCAATCTTCAATCCACTTAAATCTAGCATATTTATTGGTTAGATTTATCAATGGTGTTGCAATTATGAAAAATCCAGGGATAAATGTTCCAGAATGGCCTACATTGCCCATAAATCCTCAAACTTTTCTAATTGTTTATGGTTTTGGCACTGATCTTATTATCTTGAC